CGAAGGGTACTGGAAGAGACCGGGAGTCCTGAGGTGAGGAGAGTAAAGGGAAAACCGGAGTTCTGAAGGGAGTAGAGTAGAGGACGGAGTAGGAGAAAGCCTGCCAGAGCAGAGGAGAGCAGGGCAAGCCTCGAGAGATCATTTGGGGCCTCCTTGAGAGGTCATAAGTCCATAGCGCAAATTCCGGCTTTTTCTGCGTATATGGTACAGAGTCAGACTCAGGGCCTCATGCATGCAAGGCAAGCACTCTACCACTAAGCCACCTTCCCAGCCCCCTTGGAAAGTTTTAAGCTGGTGGAAGAAAGTCATGCAAATGTACTTTACCTTTTTGTGTGTATAAGGATATGGAACTTAAACTCAGGGCCTGACTGATGTCCCTGAGCTCTTTTGCTCAAGGCTATGCTCTATCACTTGAGCCACAGCACTACTTCCGGCTTTTTTAGTAGTTAATTAGAAAGTCTAACAGACTTCTTGCCTAGACTGCCTTTGATTTGTGATCCTCAGATCTCAGCCTCTTTAGAAGTTAGGATTGCAGCTGTGAGCCTTGGGCACTCAGCTTCTGATTCTGGTGGCTTGTGCTTGTGATCCTAGCTACCCAGGAGTCTGAGATCTGAGAGTCCAGGCTTGAAGACAACCCAGACAAGACATTGCTTGACACTCTTACCTCAAATTAACCATCAGAAAGCCAGAAAGTGGAGGTCTGGCTCAAGTGGTAGAGCACAGCCTTGAGCAAAAGAGCTTAGGGATAGCACTCAGGGCCTGAGTTCAAGCCCTAGGACCTGAAAACTTTAAGACTGGCACAAAAGTAAAGGTGATTCTCATTGCTATATAGAGAATGCACTGTAGGAAACAGAAGTGAAAGAAAGAAGACCAGAGCATTGCAGTGTTAAGAGGAGATATTTGATCTCTTTGGAGGTAGAGCTATTGGGGTTTGAAATGAATTGGAAGTGATAGATGAGAGAACCCCATTCATTGCCTAAGTATTAATGGTACTAATATGGAAAATATTATTTTTAATATGGAAAAAATTTGAGAAGTAATTTTAGTGAAAAATCAAAATTTTGGGTGTGTATTCGGTATGAAACTACTACATGTAATATTTGAATTTTTATTTATCATACCTGGGTAGCATTGTTTTGGAATATGAAAAAATCATACATTTTAGAGAGTTCATATACACAGAAAGTCTGTTCAAAAAAATTAACTTTCACCAGGTGCCAGTGGCCCACACCTGTAATTCTGGCTACTCAGGAGGCTGAGATCTAAGGACTGCAGTTCACAGACAGCTCAGGCAAGAAAATCCTAGAAACTCTTATCTCCAATTAACCACCAAAAAGCCTGAAGTGGAACTGTGGCTCAATTGGTAGAGTGCTAGCCTTGAGCTAAGAGATCACACCGAGTCTCTTGAGTTCAAGCCCCAGAACCTTTCACACTTCCCCACATACACACAAAAAAATTGCTTATTATAATTGTTTGTCATTAATCTTCCATTATCCTTTTTTTTCCAAGCTGATTCTCTAATTACTCCTGAAATTCTCTAGTCATAGTTAAGATGCCTATAAAATCACTTCACTAAACATCTACTTTGAGTGAAACACAATTATTCTGAATTTTATAAATACAATAAACTTGATTATTGATATGTTGATTTATTCTTTTTTGTCCTTGTCCTTTGCTTTTATTAATATTTCTTGCCTTGGAGTAGTTTCAATATTTTCAGTGAAAGGGTATGTAGCTAATATTGTTCAGTCTTGCTAATTGTATTTCTGGGAGAGATTTGATAGAAAAAGTTGAAATACATGGATACGTTTATATTGCCTATGAATTACCTGTGAATTTCATCTTTTTTAGTCAGTCATGGGGCTTGAATTTGGTCTGGGCACTGTCCCTCAGCTCTTCAGCTCAAGGAAAGTGCTCTACCACTTGAGCCACGGTGCCACTTCTGGGTTTCTGGTGGTTAATTGGAGATAAGGGTCTCACAGACTTTCCTGCAGGCTGGCTTTGAACCTTAACCCTCAGATCTCAGCCTCCTGAGTAGCTAGGATTAAAGGTGTCGTAAGCCACCAGTGTCCAGCTTCTTAGTGTTTTTATATATTTTTTCTTTTTCCTTTTTTGGGGGGTGGGAGGGAGAGTGCTAGTCCTGGGGCTTGAACTCAGTATCTGAGAGCTGACTCTGCCTGAGACTTTCTACTCAAGGCTAGCTCTCTACTACTTAAGCCACTTACAGCTTCTGTTGTGCTTAATTGTAGAGAAGAATCTCAAGGACTTTCTTGCCCTGGTTGACTTCAAACCTTGATCTTCAGATCTTAGCCTCCTGAATATGTATGGACCACTGGTGCCCAGCCACTCTTTCTGTATTTTTACTTGATTTTAACTGAAATTTAGAATTAACATTTTTGAAGGTAGTGACACAAGAACACTTCAGACATAGAGTCTAATTTTTTTTTTTTTGGGTCCGGTCGTGGGGCCTGAACTCTGGGCCTGGGTGCTGTCCCTCAGCTCTTCAGCTCAAGGCTAGCACTCTACCACTTGAGCCACAGCACCACTTCCAGCTTTTTTCTTTTTGCTTATGTGGTGCTGAGGAATCGAACCCATGGCCTCAGGCATGCAAGGCAAGCACTCTACCACTGAGCCACCTTCCCAGCTAGAGTCTAATTTTTTAATCACAAGCGTAGGATCTAAAAGTTTCAGTTCTTTTTAATTCTACATTGATTATATTTTTTCCTGTGTTGTTTTTATTATTATCTGACAAGTATATCCAAAATGAAGAATGAACGTCATAAAAGACAACTCCACAGACATTTTTCTTTAGTTGACTTTTTTTAATAAGGCCAGCTTCTTAATTCTAGATTTGATTTTAAGTTGTGTTTTATATCAATAAATGAGATACATACAAATAAGACATTTACATACCCATAAACAGATTCCTTGCTTTAAAACTTAGCTTTTGCTCCCCATAAAAGTTCTTAAAATAACATACAGATTTGCCCAGAGTGGAGTATTTTATTTGAAGATGTTTATTCCAATAAGTATTTTTTGAAGGATGAAGGTTAAATGTTAACTCTTTCAACTTTCTGGAGCTTAGTCCTTTGGGTAGCTCTCTCCTCCACCAGAACTGCCACTTGAAACTTAACATTGTTTCTGAGAAGCCTTTGAAGTACATTTGATGCAAGATAGGTAAAGTGACTTGATCATGCTTGACATGAATGATCATGGTTAGAAGACAGGACATATAAAGAAAGTTATTGAAGATTAAAGTGGTACATGCCATGAATGTTTTGTGCAGATTTTTAAAAAATTAACAGATTATAAACTCCTTTTATTTAAAAATGTTTTTATGACATTTAAAAACCTGAGCTATAATTATATTACTTTTATCCGTCACTTTTGACTTACCTTCTATACCACAAATCCATTGGAACCATCCCTCATAATAACTTCCTGGTACAGTTATTAAGGATATGCTTAAGGTGGTCTCTTTACATTAGATAACACTTTCAAAGGAATATTTATCAAATAGTGTATACTTTAGGACAAGTAAAAATAGTACTGTTAGACTTACTTTATTTGATCATGAGAATAAATGGATTGATTGTATGTATTAGAAATAAACTGCTGGGCAGAATGGTGAAGAACTACATTTTAAATAATAGTTCTTATTTTTATAGCTATAAACAAATTACATATAAATGTTGGTGGTACCAAAGCACTGAAAATAAAACTTGTTTGTGATCAACTCAATCCTTCGTTCTCTCTCCTAAAATGTAACTGAATGATAATAAAGTGTATTCAGCTGCAGGTGCATTGCTTCTACTTAGTTAAGATGGTTGAAAGGACAGGAATTAGTAGCATGTTGTATTAGCCTTTTGTAGTGTATTTTGTTCTAAGCATCTTAATTTCCCTGTTTTGAATGCTAAGTAGCAAGGGTCTTGGTTTAGAACTAATACCCATCATGCATGTAAACGGTATGAAAGAGCTGCTTAGTAAGTTAACACAAAGTGTTCTTGTGTCAGTCCTTGTGGAAATAGATACAATACAAACATTACAGCTGAACTCACGGCAAACTCCATTAAGTAAAAACCTGGCTTCATTGTTCAGGAAAAAGTTTGAATAGAATGCTAGCTCATTTTGTTGAATGTAATGTCAGGCTTTTAGGGACTGTATTGAGGGATAAGGTTTTGTTAAGTTGAGACCAATTCATTAAGTTTTATTGCCTGGTGAGAAGAAGTAATACTTTATTGTAAGACTTCATCAAATATTCATGGTTAAAGAGAAGTAGTAAATGTATTCAATCAAGTGGTCTTTTGGGGTCTTGAAAAGGATTATGAAGTCTGCTCAGCTGATAGTTTTAAACATTCATTGAGGTCGTTTAACAAGGGTAATTTTAGTCTTGGGGTTTAATTTTGTTGTCCAGTCTTGTGTTTTTTATACTATCACAAATCTAGGTTTATAAAAATTGTTATGTTATAGGGATGAGTGGATAATATGTTCATTCATAAATTTGTATATTTCTTAAGTGGGGATATTTTAAAAATTATCATCTTAGTTTGACATATGAGAGAGTTACCTGTCTACTTGTTCACTGTGAAGTTGATACTCATTTAGTCATACTCTAGCTTTAACCTCACTACTGCTGGTGATCTTTTTGTATCCTGAATAATATGGTCTCTTTGACACACATAAAATAATAGGCAGCCTTTTGTTTTGTCCAGTTCAGATTTTTGTGAAGGAGGTAGTCAGTGTTTTTATACATGATCTAGAAATTTCAGTAGCAGTGCCATTGTTTCTCTACTTGATATTAGGCCACCTGACTCATACCTACTTTTATATTACGCTTATCTCAGTTTCATGTGACAGTAGTCTGTGCACACAAACTTCACCTCAAACTCACTGCATGTTTAATTTGTGAACTAAAATTTTGTAATGTGCATTGCAAAGAAACATGTTCAACTAAAATCAAATTTACTGCTAACTTTTGTGTTCTTTATCCTTCATGGCAGGCCGATGATGTTGAGGGTAAAATCAGACAAATCATTCCACCTGGGTTTTGCACAAACACAAATGATTTTCTTTCTCTGCTGGAAAAGGAAGTTGATTTCAAGCCCTTTGGAACCTTACTCCATACATACTCAGTTCTCAGTCCAACGGGAGGAGAAAACTTTACATTTCAGATATACAAGGTAAAGAAAAATATAAATAGCAAAGTCTTTCCATTTGCCTAAAACCAGTGTGCAGTTTTGTTGTTATTTTCAGTGATGTATTCTAGCTTTGGGAAACAAGATTTGTTGGCATTAAAAACATCTATTGTGTGTGTGTTTGTGTGTCTTGTGTGTCTGTGTCTGTGTGTCTGTGTCTGTGTCTGTGTACACATTTAATCTGAGACTTCTAAACATTTTCCCACAGGATAGTTTTGTGTTCCACAGACTTTCACTTACCTCTGTGATGAGTTTCACCTGACTTTTCCTGGCTTTTTCCCTAGGCTGACATGACATGTAGAGGCTTTCGAGAATATCATGAAAGGCTTCAGACCTTTTTGATGTGGTTTATTGAAACTGCTAGCTTTATTGACGTGGATGATGAAAGATGGCACTACTTTCTAGTGTAAGTACAGTTCTAAAGCAACAGTAGACCTTATTACCTCCACAAAGGCAGCATTTTAATTGTGGCAGTCCAATTATTGGGACAGTATAATGATATTTTTCCCAGGAAAGAAAAACTATTGTTTATGAGGCTTGAGTTTTCCTTCATTATGCTTTGGGAGACCTTGAGAATAGAGCTGAATTAAATGCTGTTGTCCGTTAGGGCCCTGAATGTAGGCTTAAACAGTAAAATGAGCTTTGCCTGTGTTTTCTTTTACTTGCCACCTATTCATCTTTATAATAGGCAAGTGCACTGAAGTGATGTAAAGAGGTCTGATTTATCCAAGTTGCTGCACACCAATTAAGTGAATTGTACATTCAGAACATAGCAGGTGTACCCATTGGGCCCTCACAGAGTAGCTTGCTGACACTGAAAATTCAGTCAGAGAATGGAAAAGAAAATGGACACTGCATGGGAGCGCGACTGTAATTGACCTGCTTGGCTTTCTGTTTTATCTGCAGATTTGAGAAGTATAATAAGGATGGAGCTACGCTCTTTGCGACCGTAGGCTACATGACAGTCTATAATTACTATGTGTACCCAGACAAAACCCGGCCACGTGTAAGGTAATTGGCAGTATAACACGTGCCTTGTCTTTTATTTCAGAAGAAGGAACTGCTGAAGTTTCCAATACTTGTTATAATAGTGTTGATTTGTTTAAAAAAATCACTATTATTCATTGCCTATGTACTGATTTATTTCATTGTTTCCTTTGAAACAGTATGGCATAGTAAACCAATTTTGAGTATCTCAATTTTTGGGTTTCCTGAAGGTTGATTCAAAAAAAAAAATCACAACCTTTAAAATGATCATAATATACAGTAATTTTTAACTGGCTGTCATGATATTTTAATTTTAAAATAATTTCTTTATTGTAGTCAGATGCTGATATTAACTCCATTTCAAGGTCAAGGCCATGGTGCTCAACTTCTTGAAACAGTTCATAGATACTATATTACGTCTCCTTCAGTTCTTGATATTACAGGTATGTAAGTTCTTTATGTGTTTTGTTAGATGTAACCATTTAAACTAACAGCAATACCCTCAGGTCTCTTTAGGTGGTTAAAGATGCCTCCAGGTTACATTTTAGATCATGAGCCTTGGTGAAGATTGCTTTGCATCTTTAACTGTGAAGTGCTTAATTGAACAAACTGAAGATAATGAACTAAATATCTTTGGGGAAATCTTGATCATGTATAAATACACTGCAAGTATGGTCTAATTTACTATGCTCAATTTAGTTGACAAACAGTTGCATCATGTAAAAAGTGCCCGTGCATTCATTTTCATGTAGAGACAGACTTTTTTAAACCTTAGGGAGAAAAAAATTGAGGTAAATAGTTCCTGAGTAGAATATGTATTTTGTAAGCTGGGCACTGGTGGCTCATGCCTGTAATCCTAGCTACTCAGGAGTCTGAGATCTGAGGATTGAGGTTCAAAGCCAGCCCAGGCAGGAAAGTCTGTGAGACTGTTATCTCCAGTAAACCACTCAGAAAACCAGAAGTGGTGCTGTGGCTCTAGTGGTAAAGCATTCACCTTGAGCTGAAGAGCTGAGGGATAGCGCCCAGGCCCAGAGTTCAGGCCCCATGACCGACAAAAAAATAAAATAAAAAAGAATATACATTTCCTAAAGTGAGTGTTTTATAGTCTTAAAATAAGTACTTTCATAACTGTAGTAGATAAGGCAAAATTAGACCTATTTATTTTGGAAATACCTTTCACAATGAGTTAGCCACAAAAGTAGTATTAAGAGCTAGACCTGATGGTATAAATCTGTGATCCCAGCACTTGGGTGGCTGAGGCAGGAGAATCATGAATTGATGATAGCCTGGGATACATAGCAAGACATTGTCTCAAAAAAGTAAATAAGTAAATAAGAAGTAGGTAGGAGTTACCCTCCCTAGCATTCCAGCTGCTAAGGAACACAGTGGCCTTAGGAACATTTATGTTGTCATTTTAGTTTCAGACCTGTTGCTCATAAAGTTTCCGATTAAGGAAGTGGAGATGTAGCTCAATTGGTAGGTCACTATCCTTGAGCATAGATGCTCAGGGACAGCACCCAGGCCCTGAGTTGAAGCCCCACAACTGATCCCACCACCACCACCCCCCCAAAAAAAGTTTCTGATTAAGGCTGGGCATAGTGGTTCATGCCTGTTAATCCTAGCTACGTGAGAGATAGAATTCAATAGGATCCAGACTTGAGGCCAGCCCAGGCAGAAAGTTACTGAGACTCCCATCTCAATAAATAATGTGAATGTGGTAGTATTTGTCTGTCACCCTTGCTACTCTGGAGGCATCTAGTAGAAGAATCACATTCCACACTGGTCTGTACAAGAAAAGCAAAGAACCCTACCTGAAAAATATCTGAAAGGCAACATGGGTGACGTTTGGCCCAAGTGATAAAGAGTCTAGCAGGGCCTGTAGGCAAACATAAGACCCTGAGTTGAAACTCTGGGACTGCCAGCAAACAAAACAGCAAAATAAAGTTGCTAATTATATGAAAAACCACTTTGTCTTCCCTCATGAAAAATACTGTATAGATGGAAAGTCCCTAATCTTAAAATCTGAATTCTATAATATTCCAAAAATCTAAGACACTTAAAAAGGTTCAAATGGGCTGGGAAGGTGACTCAGTCAGTGGTAGAGTGCTTGCCTTGCATGCATGAGGCTCTGGATTTGATTCCTCAACACCACATAAACAGAAAAAGCCTGAAAGTGGCACTGTGGCTCAAGTGGTATAGTGCTAACCTTGAGCTGAAGAGCTGAGGGACAGCATCCAGGCCTAGAGTTCAGGCCCTATGACTGAACAAAAAAAAAAAAAAAGGTTCAAGTTTCTTCACTATTTTACATTTTCAGGTTAGGGATGTTCAACTGGTAAAGTTTGTGTAAACACACCCACACACACATACATATACAAAGCGTGTGTGTGTGTGTGTGTGTGTGTGTGTGTGTGTGTGTGTGTGTGTATGTGTTATTATAAAGGTGAACAGGGAGGTTACCATTTTTTAATTTCAGAAAACTGAAACACTCTTGGCTTCACCCATTTCAGAAAAGGTTATTCAACCTGTACCAGACATTCATCCAAATTAGGTTTGAATATAGGCTAGAATGTCTTAAGTAAAGTGCCTGCCTAGTGAGCAATACCACTACACACACAAAAAAAGTTTGAGTACACTGTGAGCTAGGGTTGTAGCTCAGTGGCAAAGCATTTGTCTATCATGCATAAGACCTTCAGTTTAATTCCAAGTGCATCTACACATAGACATACACAAAACGTTTGCTCTTTTGTTTGTGTTTGGTTGTTTCCAGGTTAGCCTCAACCTACTATTTAAACTAGCCTCAAACTTGTAATCCTCCTGCATTGGCCTCCTGAGTGCTGGGATTCTAGGCTTACATTGCCACATCCAAGTTGAATATTTTTTTTTTGTTTCTAAAGCTACAATAGTAAACATGTGTTGAAATATTAACTTGTTTTATAGTGTTTTGGAATTAATTAATTTTTGTGCTGGTTCTGGGTCTTGAAATCATGGCCTATTCCTGAGCTTAGCCCTTCCACCCCCCAAGGCTAGTGCTCTACCATCTGAGCCACAGCTTCACTTCTGGCCTTTTTAGTGGTAATTGGAGATAGGAGTCTTTTGGAGCCAGGCGCCAGTGGCTCACCAAGCCACTAAGATCTGAGGATCAAGGTTCAGAGCCAGCCTGGGCAGGAAAGTCTGTGAGACTCGTATCTCCAGTTAACCACCTGAAAACTGGAAGTGGCACTGTGGCTCAAGAGGTAGAGCACTACCCTTGAGCTGAAGAGCTCAGGGACAGTGTCCAGGCCCAGAGTCAAGCCCCATGACCAAGACACACACACACACACACACACACACACACACACACACACACACACACACACACACACACACACACACACACACACACACACACACACACACACACACACACACACACACACACACACACACACACACACACACACACACACACACACACACGAGTATCATGGACTTTTGATCTTAGCCTCCTTAGTGACTAGGATTACATGCATGATCCACCATTGCCTGGCTTGGAATTTTATTAATTTGTTTAAAGACACCAAAAAAATAGGGACTATGAGACTAGCAAGTTGTAAATAGACTAATGGAAAGTGTTTCCCTAGAACAGTAAATTGTTTGAGTAGATTTATAAACTAGAAGGAAGTTGTCTGTATTTGTTATATTTGCTGTGTTTGCTATACTGGAAATTTAACCAAAATCCTGTGAATGCCAGACAAGCATCTTAGCACTGAGCTGTACCCCTGACTCAGAGTGTTGTTTTTAAAGGGAGATCCACATGTATAGAGTGGAATTAACCTTTTCCTCTTGTTGTCCTGCTACTGTTAAGTGGGCTGGACCTTGGGAGATGAAGAGTAATTAGTAAATTTAGGTTATATCCAAAGTTTGAAATTATGTGACACCTTTACTAGTCTAGTGACATGTAAAAGTATATTAAAACGGTACAACTATATCACTTCTTTTAGCTGAGCTGAAGTTGTTTAGCTTCTATTTAGTTACAGAGCTTAGACTTGGTGCTACATGAGGGACATTTGGAGGGATTTTAGTCTGGAGTTCACATAAGTAGCCTTTGTCTGTTCTAGTGGGTAATGTGCCAGCAGGGGTTGTTTCTCTGAAGCCTCTTAACCACTTTCTTCTGTCTACTCCAGCCAATAAAATCCTTGATACTTAGCACCAATTAGCAGATAAAGAATTTTATTTCTTAAATCTCAGTGAAGAGTCATCAATAATGGTAGCCTTTATTCATTGCTATTATTCAGTAGAAACTGAAGTCTAAAGAGTAAAGCTAAACATGCCAAAAGACTTCTGCATTTGACAACTGGGTATTGGTTAGCATTTCTTCTTGGTATTAGCATTTCTTAGCATTGTAAAATACTAAGAATGCTTATCAGCTGTTCTCATTGAGATGTATTTTCATTGGCTGTATCTCCTTTGCTATTTGTATTGACTGGACTTACTTGATATAGGCAGATATAATAATAATTAAAATTTATAGTCAGGGGCTTAGGTTGTTAGTGATATAATTGCCACCCATTTTTAAATTTTTTTTTCAGTCGTGAGGCTTGAACTCTGGGCCTGGGCGCTGCCCCTCAGAGTTTCAGGGACTTGCCTGCCCAGGCTGGCTTTGAACCATGATCCTCAGATCTCAGCCTCTTGAGTAGCCAGGATTATAGGGGTGAGCCACTAGTGTCCAGCACCACCTTTTTTTTTTTTTATTGTGAAAATACTGTACAGAGGGGTTACAATTACATGGGCAACATAATGAGTACATTTCTTATCAAGCATTGTAGCCTCCTCCTTTGTTTCCCCTTCCCATCTCTTCCCATCCTCCCCCCCTGCCCCCCCATCCAATCCTTCTCTCCCCCCACCCCCCAACAAAATTGTAAAGTTGTCGGCCTTGAACCCTGGGCCTGGGCGCTGTCCCTCAGCTCTTCAGCTCAGGGCTATCACTCTACCACTTGAGTATCAGTGCCACTTCCGGTTATCTGGTGGCTAATTGGAGATAAAGAGTCTCATGAACTTTCCTGCCGGGGCCAGCTTTAAACCACAATCCTCAGATCTCAGCCTCTTGAGTAGCTAGGATTACAGGCATGAACCACTAGCACCCAGCACCACCCATTTTTTTAAGAACTCATTTTTGAGGTAAAAATATTGGCAGAGAATTCCTTATGAAATGTATTGTTTTCCTTTTAAGGTTGTCAACTGTATAGATAGAATCAACTGTTTCCTCCAGAATTCTGAAAGGAGTCATGTGGCAATAGAAATTGATCTTGCTTAAATACATACATATATATACATATTATTAATTACTCTATCAGTAGCGTACTGTGAGCAATTATATTTGTGCTTTAAATGTCCCTAGCTCTTGTCCCTTTATAGACTATTATATGTGGATTTTTTCACACCTTTTGTTTTTTGAGTTAGGGTCTCACCAACTTTTCACACACTGGCTTTGATCTCCAAATCATCCAGCACCCTCCTGCAGGCAAGCACTACCATGCCTGGCTTAAAATATAATATTTTTCTATCATAAACATAGTCTACTAACAATGGCGAGGCTTTTAAAAATGATACATGAAAAGGGGGGCGCTGCTGGATCATGCCTCTAATCCTAGCTACTCAGGAGGCTGAGATCTGATTCAAAGCCAGCCTGGGCAGTTCTTGAGACCCTTAGTTCCCATTAATCACTAGAAAACAGAAAGTAGAGCTGTGGTTCCAAGTGGTAGATCCCTAACCTTGAGCAGAAAAGCTCAGGGACAGTGTCCAGGTCCTGAGTTCAAGCCTCACAACCAAACCTACCCTCCCCTCCAAAAAAATAAAATAAATAAAGATAGATGAAGGGACAACATTGTCCAAAAAGAAATGTACTCTTGGGGCTGGGAAGGTGGCTCAGTGGTAGAGCGCTTGCCTTGCATGCATGAAGCCCTGGGTTCAGTTCCCCAGTACCACATAAGCAAAAAAGAAAAAAAGCCGGAAGTGGCGCTGTGGCTCAAGTGGTAGAGCGCTAGCTGAAGAGCTGAGGGACAGCGCCCAGGCTCAGAGTTCAGGCCCCAGGACCGGACACCCCCCCCCCAAAAAAAAGAAATGTACTCTTTATCTGATTTGTTTAACTGTACTCTCTGTATAACATCTTTATGATAACAATAAAAAATTTAAAAGATAAGTAAACACATGTTATTATATGATATATTTGAAAATAAGAATGTTTTAAATTTAGAAATTTCAAAAATTAATTTTCAAAAAAATTATTAATTTTTGTTCGGTTGTGGGGCCTGAACTCTGGGCCTAGGTACTGTCCCTCAGCTCTTCAGCTCAAGGCTAGGCTCTACCACTTGAGCCACAGCACCACCTGGCTTTTTCTGCTTATTTGGTGCTAAGGAATTGAACCCAGGGCCTCATGCATGCAAGGCAAGCACTCTACCACTGAGCCACCTTCACAGGCCCTAATTTTCCAAAAATTTTAGAAAGTTTAATTTCAGAATAATCTCTGACTACATATCTAGAATATATTTAATCAAATTTCCTCTTTATATTGTCTTTGGAGCACAGGAACAAAGGAAGAGAGTTACAAATTATTTAGTGTCTTCCTTTATTCTTTTTTCAGACCAATTCTTCTAGTTAAAGAGCTTAAAGAATGAGTTGAGTTATGGCTCCTAATATTAAGCTACAAATATAATATTAGCAGTTTAAAATCATTCATTTAAAATGGGAAACTTTTGGCAACTTTATGTAAGAATGTGAGATTAAGTTTTTTGTTGTTGTTGGTCATGGAGCTTGAACTCAGGGCCTGGGCACTGTCCCTGAGCTTTATAATTTTTTTCCAGTTTATAATTTATTGGTACAATGCATCTTGCTTAATGTCACTCCTTTCATCATTCTACGCCATTCCTTCCCTCCTGAACCCTGGCCTCAGTTTTCTTAGTTTCATAGGATATGAATTCAATAGTATGACTACATTCTCCCCACTCCGTTCCTCTCTTCATTTGTCTGCCCACCCTTTCAGCATCTCTTTTCCAATACCTTGTGACTAATGCCAGAAACTTCTGAGAGCCTTCACCTTATTCTTTTTTTAAAAATTATTTTAAAGTCACAAACACCTTTTAGTCTTCAAAATGATAGTCATTATCTTAATCTACTTTGCTTATGAACTCTATGACCTTTAACAATAAAACTATTTTTTAACAAATCAGGTAATAGGGGCTAGGAAAGTGGCTCCGTGGTAGAGTGCTTGCCTTGCATGCACAAGGCTGTGGGTGTGATTCCTCAGCACCACATAAGCAGAAAAAGCCAGAAGTGGCGCTGTGTCTCAAGTGGTAGAGTGCTAGCCTTGAGCTGAGGGAGAGAGCCCAGGCCCAGAGTTCAGGCTCCATGACTGACCCAAAAAAAAAAAAAAATCGAGTAATAATGTACATTTCTTTCCTTTTGCTTAGTACCAACTGTTCTCTCATTCTCTCCCTCCTCTCACTGCTCTTGAGTTGCTTAGTTCACTTTCATCAATGTCCAGTGCAGCTGATGGGCCCCTTTGCTGTAGTTTTTCACCCTCTTTCCACTGATTCTGTGCTCTGCTCCCACCTTTCCTCAGATGTACACATGTATATACTATACATGTGGTTAAGAATACAGAGTCATCTAAAAAAAATGATAGGACAAATTAAGACGAGGTCCTTTGTTTCCTTATCTTTGGGGTTCTTTTCAGTATGCCTATTATTTTATATACAAATGAAGCATTGCTTGGGTATTACAATTTGGTGCTTTTCTCCTGAGATGGGTATGGGTAACTTGAGTCATATCTCATTGCATTTTAATTTTAACATCTGCATATCAGGGAGAACATGAGCCATTTGGCTCTCCAATCTTTGCTTATTTTGCTCAATCAATATGATTTGTTCTAGTTTCATCTATTTCCCTGTGAACGTCATTATTTTATCCTTTCTAATGGCTGTGTAAAATTCCATTGTGTATAGGTACCACAGTTTTTGGATCCATTTATCTGTAATAGGACACCCTGGGTTGTTTCCTTATCTTGGGTATTGTGAACAGTGTAGCAATGAACATGGAAGTGCAGGTGCCCTTGTTATATCCTAATTCCTGTTGCACAGGGTAGATCCTAGGAGCGCTATGGCTGGGTTGTAGTAGTTTTCTGAGGATTCTCCAGATTGCTTTCCAGGGTGGTTGTATTAGTTTACATTCCCACCAGCACTGCAGTAGGGTTCCTCTTTCCCCACATCCCCACTAGCATTTGTTATTGTCTGAATTTAGGATAGAGGCCATTCTGACTGGGGTAAGGTAGTATTTCAGGGTTGTTTTTATTTGTATTTCCTTTATAGAGTCATAGCACCACTTGGCCTTTTCTGAGTAGTTTATTGGAGATAAGAGTCTCATGGCCTTTCTTCCCTGGCTGGCTTTAATGATCCTCAGATATCAGACTCCTAAGTAGCTAGGTTTACAGGTGTGAACCATTGGTGCCCAGCACAAATAAATATCTTTGCAAAAATATACTTGTGATTTTATTTGACAAAGATAATTATTTTAAGAAATAGTCATTTCATATTCTAATTTTTGTATATATAATATCCTATTTTAAAATGTACCTTGAGATAACATGATAGAGTTACATTGGTTAAGGGAATGTTATTCTGCTTTATTTCATTAGCGGAAGATCCATCCAAAAGCTATGTGAAATTACGGGACTTTGTGCTTGTGAAGCTTTGTCAAGATATGTCCTGTTTTTCCCGGGAAAAGCTAATGCAAGGATTTAATGAAGATATGGCAATACAAGCCCAGCAGAAGTTCAAAATAAATAAGGTATTTTATTCTTTTTTTTTTTTTTTTTTTGCTGGTCTTGGGGCCTGAACTCTGGGCCTGGGCACTGTCCCTCAGCTCTTCAGCTTAAGGCTAGTGCTCTACCATTTGAGCCACAGCACCACTTCTGCTTACGTGGTGCTGAGGAATTGAACCCAGGACCTCATGCATGCAAGGCAAGCACTCTACCACTGAGCCACCTTCCCAGCCCATAAGGTATTTTATTCTGAAGGAGGAAAACATTTAAATTTTAAATATTTTTACTAGCTTAAAGATAATGTAAAGACATTAAGAATACATGTATGATCCTGGTGCCAGTGGCTCATACTCTGAACCTAGCTACTCAGGAGGCTGAGATCTGAGGATCACAGTGTGACGCCAGCCTGCGCAGGAAAGTCTGTGAGACTCTTATTTCCATTTAAGCTGGCTCAAATGGTAGGGTACTAGCCTTGAGCAAGAAGCTCAGCAACAGTGCCTAGGCCTTGAGTTTAAGCCCCAGGATCAGCATATGCGCATGCGTGTGCACACATACGCGCATGCGCACACACACACACACACACACACACACACACACACACACACACACACGTGACTTTCCAGATCCAAACCTAGATCACTGTACTAAATGTAAAGATGTATAGTCATATTTTTCTTTTGCTTAAAAAAAAAATTAAGCGGTTATACTTCTAGAGACAGTGTTGATAGGGAGAAGAGCTGAAACATACATTTGTTTAATTTCTAAGAGGTAAATATCTCAAGATAGGAATAGAAAATAGTGGAATTCAGAAAAAGGAGTTATAAACAAGAAGATATTTCATGGAAAAAATAGCATTTGATCTAAACTTTGAAGAATAAGCTAGGATTTGGATTATAAAAGTATGCAAGGGGGGAGGAGATGGGAAAGGATGGGAAGGGGAAACAAAGGAGGAGGCAACAATGCTTGGTAAGAAATGTACTCATTACCTTGCTCATGTAATTGTAACCCCTCTGTACAGTATTTTCAAGTTAAAAAAGAAAAAATTAATATAGGCAAAAAAAAAAAAATATGCAGCAACTACTTAAGCCAACCTCCAGTCCAGCTTTTTCTTTTTGTGCTGGTATTTTGACATGGACTCAGGACCTTGTTCTCTCCCTTAGGTTTTTCACTCTACCACTTAAGCCACAGCTCCATTACCAACTTTTTTTTGGATATAAGGCCGAATATAAGAGTCTCATGGACTGCTTAGGTTGCTTTGAAATGCAGTCTTCAAATCTCAGCCTTCTGAGTAGCTGGATTTTAGTCATGAGCTACCAGTGACCAGCTAGTACAGTGCTGTTGTTGTTTTTTGTTTTGTTTTTTGCTGGTTAATTGGAGATAAAGTCACTGACTTTGCTGCCTAGGTTGGCTTTGAACCATGATCCTCAGATCTCAGTCTTCTGAGTATCTAAGGTTACAGGCATGAGCATTTTTGGTGCCTGGCTCACATTCTTTAATTAGCTTTTTTTTTTTTTTTTTTATACAGGGGGTGGGGGAGTCAAACTCTGAAAGGGCTACTGAGCCCATTGTAATCTGGATCCTACCTACCTTGCTATAACTTCCTGTGACTTCCCTACATTCTCTTGCTTTGTAGAACTTGTTGCCATTTCCCAGCTATGCTACAGCTTTCTTCTGAGTTCTTTTACATATACTATACCCAGTGCTCCCATATCATTGTTTTTTTCTGGGAGGGGAGGAGTTTTCTGTTCTTTTTGCCTTTGAGACAAAGTCTTATGTAGCAAAAGTTGTCCTCACATTTACAATCCTCCTGCCTCAGATTCCCAAATGCCAGGATTACAAATCCCTCAGCCTCCTGACTGCTGGAATTATAGGTGTATACCATACCACCAAGTTACACTGCTTCCTTTATTGAGAACACTTCCTTTTTCTGTTTGCCTAGCCAAGTAGTGCTCAGTTTTCCAGACTCGACTCACATATTCATTCTAGTAAGTTAATATGTCTTCTCAGCCTTCTCACACTCACTTCCTCACCAAAAAAATACACAAGCATAGTAACAAACAGAAAAGCCCTATTACTCCTTAGCTTGCTTCTAGAACTTCCTGATTTCTCCTGATGTTCTCTTGACTACTTTTTCTCTGTCTTCAGAACCCAAGGCCTTGTGCTCTACTATTTAGCTATGTCTCTCTCCCAACCCCCAGTCCTTTTATTTGCCCTTTAACTGTCACTGTGTAGGGTCTGATCACTCAAAATTTATTTATTTTTATTAAGTTGTACAAAGGGCTTTCAATTCTAGAAGTCAGGTTATGACCATTCTCTTCCATCTTTCCCCATCCCATTCCTAAAGGATGGTATACGTAGGGGGAGGAGTTCAATGGTGTAACTCCTCTGAATAGCTAACAAACTGCTTAACAAAACAAATCCCAGGAAGCTGAAACACATTCAGAGTGGAACACATGAATGGAGAGAGGAGGGGTGAGCAAATACTGTCATTATATTCAATAATTTATTTTATGTATTTATTTATTTTTGGCCGATCATGTGGCGTGAACTCTGGGCCTGGGTGCTGTCCCTCAGCTCTTCAGCTCAAGACTAGTGCTCTACTGCTTGAGCCCAAGCGCCACTTGTGGCTTTTTCTGCTTTTATGTGGTGCTGAGGAATTGAACTCAGGGTCTCATGCATGCAAGAGGCAAGCACTCTACCACAAGCCACCTTCCCAGCCCCTCAGTAATTTACTTTTAAAAATCAAATTTATATGTGTGTCTGTGTATATATATATATATATATGTCTGTACACACATATACACACACACACACACGTATATATTCCATTCCTATTGAAGAACACGATACCTAGCTAGGCAATGATGGCTCATGCCTTTAATCATAGCTACTCAGGAGGCTGAGATCTGAGGATTGCAGTTCAGAGCAGCCAAAGCAGAAAAGTCTGTGAGACTCTTATCTCCATTTAGCCACCAGAAAACCAAAGTGGAGCTCTGGGTCCAAGTGGTAGAGCACTAGTGTTGAGCAGAAGAGCTTAGGGATAGAGCCTAGACCCTGAGTTCAATCAATCTCTAGTACCAACATGCACATATACACACACCAAGAATATGATACTACTGGGTTGAAATCTACCTCTTTAATGTTGTATATAAGTTCTATCTCTTCTGTATTCCAATTTTGTGCTTTAATGTCAAAATACTCTGTTCTGTGTACATGTATGCACATATAGGCACAATGGACTCCCCTGTTTCTAGAATGATATTGTCCCTTTGAGATTCAACTCAGAGGGAGCTGGGAATGTGGCTTAGTGGTAGAGTGCTTGCCTAGTATGCATGAAGCCCAGGGATTGATTCCTCAGTACCATATAAACAGAAAAAAAAAAGAAACTGGAAATGGTGCTGTGGCACAAATGGTAGAGTTTTAACCTTGGGCAAAAGAAGCTCATGGCCAGTGCCCAGGCCCTGAGTTTAACCCATTACTGTCAAAAAAAAAAAAAAAGATCCAACTCAGAGCTGAGAGTGGTGGCTCAAGCCTGTAGTCCTGGCTACTTAGGAGGCTGAGATCTGTGGTAGAACATTAACTTTGAACATAAAAGCTCAGGGATAGCACTTAGACTTTCAGTTCAAGCCACAGCACTAACAACAGCAACAAAAAAGATTGCAACTACAGCGTAGGGATGTAGCTCAGTGGTAGAGAACTTGTCTTAACATTTTTCAAGGCCCCAGGTTCATTACCCAGTACCACAAAAGAAGGAAAAGATTCAGCTCAAGCTTTATATTTTTTTCCTCTAGGTATGGCTTTGACTATTTTTCATACTCTCAGGCTGTGCATATTTGTCATTAAATAAACCATCCTCAATAATTTGTTATCCCCATTATACTGCTAAGTCCTTGTATGCAGGTTCTTTCATTGCTTTTTCTCTCATATTCAACACAATTTATTCCTCATATCAGATAATTAATATATTTTGTGTTCTTTTGGAAAAACGTTACTTTTTTATTTTCCTCATTTTTTTTAGCAACATGCTAGACGTGTTTATGAAATTCTTCGACTTCTAGTAACTGACATGAGTGATGCTGAGCAATTCACAAGCTATGAAATGGATATTAAAAGAAGACTAATTAGCCCATATAAGGTAGGACTTTCAAAAGTCTTAAGCATTATATTCTTGTTACTGTATAAAACAGAAATAAAGCTAGTACATGCCAGGATTTGAATAGAGTACAGATCACTTTACTAAATTAACTTTACTAAAAGTGAAAATATGCTTTCCATTATAGAAATCCTCCATAATAGTCCTACTTAAACTTTATGTTTTTGAATCCCTTAACTAATCCAAGAAATAGTCTGTCGTGATTTTGGTTGCTATTGTTCATTTGCAGGGGAGGGTTGGGTTCATCCTGTAGTTTGAACTCAGGGCCTGGGTGTTGTTTCTTAGCTTTTTCATTAAAGTCTGGCACTCTAGTATTTAAATGAGCCACACCTTCACTTTCTGCTTTTTGCTACTTAATTGAATATAAGAGTCTCATAGACTTTTTGCCCAGGCTGGCTTCAAACTAATCCTCAGATCTCAAGCTTCCTGGGTATCTAGGATTACAGGCCTGAGTCACCAGCCCCAGCTTTTCAATTTGTCTTTTGAAAAGCAGTTTGAGACAGAGAGGAAGAGTTAAGATTTCTGTTAGAGTTTTAATTGTGATATCATTCCTTTATCCCTGTTCTCTTCCATGTAATACCTATCTCAGAATTGTTAGGATCACACAAGTTAATATACATGATTACTCATCTCCATGTAAAATCAACTCCATTATATAAATAAAACAATTGGGATAATCTAGAACATTTATCTTAAATATATGAATGCTTTAGATACTGTAGTAGTGCCACATTCCTGAAATAAAAATCTTAACTGTTATTCTTAGTGCTTTCTCCCCTAAATTTAACCTGTCCACTCCAGCTCTTCTGCAGGGCTCCATTTAGGCTTTCATAATCTCTGGTTTGAACTACTGCCATAGCTGTTTTATTGTTTTCTGTTTGTTTTTTGCCAGTCCTGGGGCTTGAACTCAGGGTCTGAGCACTGTCCCTGAGCTGCTTTTGCTCAAGGCTAACACTCTACCACTTGAACCACGGTGCCACATCTGGCTTTTTCTATTTAATGGCACTGAGGAATTGAACCGAAGGCTTCATGCATGCTAGGCAAGTACTATACCATTGTGCTACCTAACTAGCCCCCATAACTGGTTCTTTAGACCTTAATTTATATGTATAAGACATCACTTGCATGTATTGTTCTGCACAAAAATTGATACCAGCTCACTATTGCAAACATCTCTGCTTATTATATCTCCTTATTAAAATGAGGATTTAATAAGATACTTTATAGCTAGAATTTAGTAGAAACTCAGTTAATACATACTTTTTAGGCCAGGCACCAGTACCTCACACTTGTAATTAATCTTAGCTGCTTGGGAGGCTGAAAATGGGAGACTAGTGGTTTTAGGCCAGCCACAGCAGAAAAAATTTGTGAGACTTCAACCTTCCTTCCCTACCCCTATCAGAAGGAGGCTAGAAAATTTCTCATTGGCTACACCTATGATCCCAGTGATGAGAAGCCTAAAATTAGGTGGATTGCAACACAAGGATGGAAGTATGGCTCAGAGGTATCTTGCCAACCTAGCAAGTATGAGGCCCTAAGTTCAAACTTGTAATGCCAAAATAAAAAATTAATAAATAAGTTGAAAATATGTGTATATATGCTATATAACACTTTTCATTTATCTTTCTGAAGTTTGTTCAAATTAGTGTGTCCATAAATATATCGTTTGATAAGGTATCCTAGCAATGAGCATAATGCCAGGAGAGTGCCACCTTAGAATTTAAAATTAATCTAATTAGGTCAGGTAGCTTAGTGGTTGTTCTGCATTTCATATCAGTTATCCTCAGTTGATATATTTATTAAAGAAATGTTTTCCAACACTGATGAGCATGAGAGAGAGTTTTTCTGGCTTCATACATGTTAGGCAAGCACTCTGTCATGAACTATATACCTCCTTTCCTGTCCAGAGTTATATTACGTTTTGGAGGAGGCTAATTGTCACCTGTTTATATTTCCTGTCATTTGACATAAATGCCAAATCTTCTTATGTTAACTCTTTTTGCAGCGTTTATAATTCATAGTTATCTTTATGTTTAACCTTCCCTAAGAAAATAGCTATATAACAGAAGTTTGGGCATATTCCTCCTTTTTTAAAATATGTTTTTTATTGTAGAAATACTGTACAGAGGGGTTACAGTTACATGAGTAAGGTAATAAGTACATTTCCTATCGAGCATTGTTGCCTTCTCCTTTTTTTTTTTTTCCTCCTTTTAATAGTGAAGACTTAAAATCATAGGAATGTAAAAAAAAATTCTTTCTTCTAACAAATAATTGTTTGTTACTTAGAAAAAGCAGAGAGATCTTGCTAAAATGAGAAAATGTCTCAGACCAGAAGAACTGACAAATCAGATGAACCAGATAGAAATTGAGTTGCAACATGAACAGCTGGAACAAAGCTTTCAGGAACTAGTAGAAGATTACAGACGTGTTATTGAACGACTTGCTCAAGAGTAAGATTGTATACTCTGAACAGGATGCTTGCAATTTTCTGTATATTGTGCTGTGACAAACCTATGATGACTTTAATTTTAATATCTTGTAACATTTTACTTACATTAAAAGTTATCTATGTTATGTTTAGTTGAATTCTTTCAGAGAGATTGTATATTTTAAAATACTGTCTAGAGTCTATGAGCATATATTGCGTTAAATGATAAGTCTGAAATACCACTGCAATTGCTTTTATTCTTAAACAGTATAATAAATGATTAGTTGTGGTATATTAAAGTGTGATATGGTTTTTACATATTTACAATAAACTTCTTCAGTCTTGTTAAAAAAAAGATTTTAGGTAGGTGTTATGGTTCAAGCTTGTAATCCCAGCTACTTGGGATCAGAGATGCAGGATCACATTTCAAGGCCAGCCCAGGCATATAAGTTGAGACTTGATCTCAACGAATAGCTGGGCACAGTGGTACACACCTGTTATTCCCAGTGATATGGGGATGCACAAGTAGGAGGATTGAAATCTAGGACATAAAGCAAGACCCTACCTTGTAAATAACCAATATAAAAGGTGACTGGACCCATGGCTCACACTGGCAGAATGCCTGCTTTGCAAGTGCAAAGCCTGAATTCAAACCCCAGTACTATTTCCTGTTTCCCCAACCACCTCAATAAAAAATGAGCCAGGTACCATGTCTATAATCCTACCTACACAGGAGGCTGAGATCTGAAAATTGAGGTTTGAAGCCAACCAGAACAAATAAATCTGAGAAACTATCTCCAGTTAACTGGCAAAAATCCAAGAGTGGAGTGGTAGAGTGCTAGCCATGAATAAAAAAAAAAAAACCTCTTCAAGTGGCCTGGAATTCAAGCTTTAGTACTTTTAAGAGGTTTTTTTTTGGGGGGGGGGGGGGTGAGATGGGGGTGGGTTTCACTTGCTAGGCAAACACTCTTTTTTTTTTTTTATAGTTTTTTTCTTTTTTTTTTATTGTAAAGATACTATACAGAGGGTTACAGTTACATGAGTGAGGTAATGAGTACACTTCCTCTTGAACATTGTTACCCCCTCCATTGTTTTCCCCCTACCATCCCCTCCCTCCCTACCTTCCCCGAGGTTCTTTTTTTTTTTTTTTTTTTGATTGTGATTAAGTGATTACATAATTTCCCGAATTTCACAGTATCGTGGAATAATGATGCTCATTTAAAGTCACAAGTTCATTCTAACTTTCCTGAAGCAAATTGTCTATCACAGTCTATAACATATAACGGTGTTCACATGTTATACACCATACATGTGATCAGCAGTATGGGGATATTTAGTAGTAGTTCGACCAGATGAGTGCGAGTTCTTTGTTTCTTACGTTAGTTTTGTCATATCACCTAACATTTTGGATTTAGCATCCACTTACCAGGGAGACCATGTACCGTTTGTCTCTTCGCTCTTGGCTTACCTCGCTCAACATGATTCCTTTTAGCTCCATCCATTTCCCTGCAAATGCCATTATTTTGTCATTTCTAATGGCTGCATAATATTCCATTGTGTATAGATACCACACTTTTTGGATCCATTCATCTGTGGTGGGGCATCTAGGTTGTTTCCATATCCTAGCTATTGTGAACAGTGCTGCAATAAACATGGAGGTGCACGTGTCCTTGTATATTGGTTCCTGTTGTTCAGGGTAGATGCCTAGAAGTGGTATGACTGGGTCGTAAGGGAGGTCAATCTTTAGCTTTCTAAGGACCCTCCAGACTGCTTTCCAAAGTGGTTGTATAAGTGTACATTCCCACCAGCAGTGTAATAGGGTTCCTCTTTCTCCACATCCCCTCCAGCATTTGTCGTTGGCTGATTTGTGGATGTGGGACATTCTGACTGGGGTGAGGTAGTATCTCAGGGTTGTCTTTATTTGCATTTCCTTCACCACCAAGGATGATGAACATTTCCTCATGTGTTTCTTTGCCATTTTTATTTCTTCATTTGAGAAGTCCCTCTTTAGTTCCCTTGCCCATTTAGTAATTGGTTTGTTAGGTTTGGGAGGGATTGGTTTCTTGAGTTCCCTGTATATACAGGATGTTAACCCCTTGTCTGATATATTGCTGGTAAATATTTTTTCCCAATTAGTTGGTTGTCTTTCTAGCTTGGTTGCGATAGATTTAGCTGTGCAGAAGCTTTTTATTTTAAGGTAGTCCCATTTGTCGAGTCTCTCTCCAACTTGTTGTGACCCTGGGACTCTGTTCAGGAAGTTCCTTCCTGTGCCTATTAGTTCAAGTGTTTCTCCTACTCTGTCCTGCAGTAGTTGCAGAGATTCCGGTTTAATGTTAAGGTCTTTAATCCATTTTGAGTTGATGTTGGTGAATGGTGATAGGCTGGGGTCCACTTTTAGTTTTCTGCATGTGGCCTAGGCAAGCACTCTTAACTCAGGCTATGCCTCCAGACCTTTTTGCTATAGGTAATTTTTCTAATTAGGTCTTTTTACCCAGGGCCTGCTTGGGACTGGGATAACTGCAGCCTGAAGGAAAAATGATAAAAGCCTTAAAATCTAGCCAGGCACAGTGGCCCTCCTGTGTAATTCCACCTCCTCACGAGGTAGAGATTTGGAGGATCTCAATTCAAGGCCAACCTGGGCAAAAAGGTAGAGCCCATCTTAAGGTGGGTATGGTGTACTTACATAGGATACTGAAGCACCTTTCAGAATTTATCACAAAACAAAAAATTTTTACACAGTATTATAAATATATATACCTGTCAATTTGCTAAGATGAAGTAACTAAGATGTTAAAGATCAAGAAGTCAAGTAATTGTTTAATATAAGAAAGAGTACAAATATATAAGAATCTTTATAAAAGTAAATGCTTGAGTTGGGCACCAGTGGCTCATGCTTGTAATTGTAGCTACTCAGGAGGCTAAGATCTGAGGATCACAGTTGGGAGCTGGCCCACGCAGAAAAGTCCCTGGGAGACTTTTATCTCCAAAACTGGAAAAAACTCAAAAACTGGAAGTGATGCTGGGGCTCAATTGGTAGATTGCTAGCCTTGAGCACAAAGAAGCTCAGGGACAGTTTCCTGGCTCTGTGTTTTAAGTCCCACAACCAACCACAACAACAAAAAAGTAAATATTTGAGATGTTATAATGTGTGCTGGTAAACCAGGTATTGGTAACATTTGAACAGGATCTGAGTTGCACTTTACTTGTTTGATGCTTGGGCCAAATATCAACCTGAACAAGCACTGTCTTGTCCGTGGATCAACTTCCCATGAGTAAAACCTCTCAAAGACTGGAGATGAAAAGGTAATCCATAGCCTTTGGACAAAATAGTTGTGGCCAACAGCACTTAAGCTGTCTCCTTAAAATTAAAGTGTAGGGCTGGGAAGGTGGCTCAGTGATAGAGTGCCTGCCTTGCATGCATGAGGCCCTGGGTTCTATTCCTCAGCACCACATAAGCAGAAAAAGGCGGAAGTGGCGCTGTGGCTCAAGTGCTAGAGCACTAGCCTTGAGCTGAAGAGCTGAGGGACAGTGCCCAGGCGTACAGTTCAAGCCCCACAACTGGCAAAAAAAAAAAAAGGTGTAAAACTTCAAATTACCTGATTTCAGAAGCCTGTCTGTAGATAAAACTTCTCTGAGGTTATTTGTATGTATACTGTTTTCTATACTTTAGCATGAATTAGTTCAGCTAAAGTCTTATCTAATATTGTGAAAGCAACTTGTCTTCCCGTCTGAATTGGCTAATAATTTTGAAATTTGTCATTAATAATTTATATTGATACTTTGAAGAGAAAAAAATGCAATCTAAAAGTTTTCTTTCAAGGTAATTTTTGGGTAAAAACCAATAGAACAATTTCCCTAGCCTATATGTATGTGTTTGTTGTGTGTGTAAACTTGTCAGTACTAGGGTTTGAACTTGGGTCCTGGGTGCTGTCCCTGAGCTTTTTGCTCTTACACTTGAGGTACACTTCCAGCTTTTTGGTAGTTAATTGGGCATAAGTTTCAATTTCCTGCCTGGGCTGGCTTTGAATCGAAATCCTCAGATCTCTGTCTCCAGAGTAGTTAGGATTCCAAGCATGAGCTACCTACCCATGCCTAGCAGCATAGCCTATTTTTTAAAAAGCAGTTATTGGATTTAAGACCTGGTTTAGCACCAATCTTCGGGACTCTAAAGGCTGGAGCTTCATTTGGAGTCAGAATGATAGTGAATTTGTTGTTGTTGGTGGTGGTGGTGGTGGTGGTGGTGGTGGTGGTGGTGGTGGTGGTGGTGTGTGTGTGTGTGTGTGTGTGTGTGTCCTGTGGTGGTGGTGGTGGTGGTGGTGGTGGTGGTGGTGGTGGTGGTGTGTGTGTGTGTGTGTGTGTGTGTCCTGCCCCTTACCTTTTGCTCAAGGCTAACACTTTGTCACTTGAGCCACAGTTATACTTCTGGCTTCTTTTGGGTATTTTATTGAGGATAAGAGTCTCAGACTTTTCTGCACAAGCTGTCTTTCCATCTGTGGCTCTCAGATCTCAGCCTTCTGAATAATTACAGGCATGAGCCACCAGTACCCAGCTTCTGTTTTGGTTTTGAAACTTGTTATATAGCCCAGGCTGACTTTGAACTCAGGATCTTTCTGCCTCCACCTCAGGAGTAGTGAGATTATAGGTGTGTAACATCACAACCAGTAAAAATCTGGTATTTAGATCTCTACCTTGAAGAGTAGTTAAATATCAGGATCCAAGTATAGAATGGTGTATGAACACTGAAATAACCAGTCACTGGTCACTTACAACCCCCTAGACTTAGTCTTCATACACAAACATACCGTATTTGTGTTCTTCCCTTCTGCCACTCTTAATTTACTTTTTCCATATCCTCTACAAGCCACATTTCCTTCCAAGTATCAGTTCTTATCTCTAAAAAAGATATTTTTCTAGAATGAGTTTTCACCTCCTTTGTTCTGAGATCTGTCTTATCCGTTTCAGATCTTTTCTTCTTACCTGGCTATATAATCAGATGTGATATATATCATGTGGTGTGGATGTGTGTGTACATGCATATATATACACATAAACTATAATATAGATAGAAATTATACTCAGATATGGTTTATTATACTCAGATGTGGTTTATCTAGAAAATAATTTTTTTTTGTCTAGGACTCAAACTCAGTACCTGATACTTTTGCTCACTGGCTGGTACTCTACCACCTGAGCCATGCCTCCAACCCCAATAAAGAATTTTTCTAAAGCCAAGCACCGGTGGCTCACACCTGTAATCCTAACTACTCAGGAGGCTGATATCTGAGGATCACGGTTCAAA